CAGAAGATAGGTAGATAGATAGAGAGATAGATAGATAAATATATAGAAAAACAGATAGATAGATAGATAGATAGATAGATAGATAGATAGGTAGATGGATAGAGAAATAGATATATAGGTAAATAGATAGATAGATAGATAGATAGATAGATAGATAGATACATAGATAGAGAGGTAAATAGATAGATAGGTAGATAGACAGATAGAGAGAGAGATAGAGGGAGAGATAGATAGGTAGAGAAAGATGGATAGACAAGCAAACGAAAGAAAGAAAAGACAGATAGAAAGAAGGAAAGAAGGGAGGAAGGAAAGAAATGAAGAAAGGAAGAATGACGGAGAAAAATGAAACAATGAAAAGGAAGAAGAAGAGAAAAAGAGTCAAGAAAAGAAAGAAAAAGAGAACTATAGTTTCTATATGTTTGAAACTTCCGCCCGCCGGCTTCGCCGGCTCTACTGGTAGTTATCCCAATGGGATGACGTGTTCAATTTAACCTACATAACATGTGGGTACACACACGAAGCAAATTATCTGTAAATTATTCCTTACTCACAGTGGACAAAAAGCAGCACACCCAAGCGAACCTGGGAGCTCTCACAAGTGAACCTGAAGAGCAAAACAAGCGACCTTCCCAGGGAGACAGCACCCTGCAAGCCCCACGTTTTCGTTCACCCTCCCCTCTATAGCTTTCAGCCTTCTGAGGATCAACCAAAAACCAAAAGGAATCCGCGCCCCATGTTTTGTTCATGCTCAAAAACTACCTGCAGCAACCCTCAGCGGCCAATCGCTCCAAACGCGCCTGGGGTGTGCCCAAAAGACACCTTTGGCCCAGGGCTCCGGTCCAAAGCTCTCACACCTTCGAAAAGGAGCGCTCCAAGCGGGGCCGAGTTCCTGGATGTGTGTTCTAAAATCCGGGTCCTTTCGTTGGGGTGATTTTTTTACTATTGCTCAATGGAGCAAGGGCAAGGCTGGCGCTGGTTGTGCTTCTTTGCAATGTCAGCATCCGCCCTCAAGGATGCACAGGTCCTTGCGGGATGTTCTTCCAGGCGAGCTGGAGCCCATGTTTTCGGCTTAAAACAAACACAGGGTGCTTTACATTGGGTACTCCGCTTTTGGCCATAGCATCAGCATTCATAGAGTCCACAAGGAACTCAGCCTCTACCCGGCCGGATACGAGCTCGCCAAAGAGCGAAAGAGCGCCACTTTAAGCAGCGTGCGAGCCTTGCTCAGTTGGCACATTCGCCGAAACAGACCAGCGCGCGTCAGGAAAATGGGCATAATGGTACAGCTCAAGTGTCAAGAAGGAAAGCCTGGCTTGGCATTTCGGGCAAGTGTGTCGGGGTGTGGGTGTGGGTGTGCATACGCGTGTGACTGTGCATGCGTGCGTGCGTGCCGGCGTGCATGCGAGACAAGAGAGACAGAAAGAGACGAATAGGGAGAGAGCTAGAGAGAGAGGAACAAGAGAGAAAAAATATCGAAACTACTTCACCGGAAGGGTGCAGTATACAAAGCATGTGCAGCACGCATTCGCTCGCGAATTTACGAGTGCTTGTACGTGTGCTGGTGCAAACAAACGCAGGTGTGTTTGTGGCGATGCCTGTGAAAGTGCCTAGCGCGCGCATGCGCGCGCGTGTGTGTGTGTGTGTGTGTGTGTGTGTGTGTGTGTGTGTGTGTGCGTCGGGGGGAGGCGGGGCGGCCTGGCAGGGGTTGGGGCGTCGGTGTGGGCATGGGCGCCTTGCCTGTGCCTGCGCCTGAGCGTGCGTGTGCGTGTGCGTGTTCGTGCGCGTGTGGGTGCCCATGCCCATGTGCGTGTCAGCGTGCGCGCGCGTGCGCGTGCGTGTGCAAATGCGAGCGCGTGCGCGTGCGCGTGGGCGTGCGCGTGGGCGTGCGCGCGTGGGCGTGTGGGTGTGTGTGTGTGTGGCGGTTTGGGGGGGTGTGCGGGGGTGTGGGTGGGTGTGGGTGTGTGTGTGGGGGTGTGTGGGGGTGTGTGGGGGTGTGTGGGGATGTGTGGGGCTGTGTGGGGCTGTGTGTGGGTGTGTGTGTGGGTGTGTGTGTGTGTGGGTGTGTGTGTGTGGGTGTGCGTGTGGGTGTGTGGGTGGGTGTGTTGGTGTGGGTGTGTGTGTGTGTGTGTGTGTGTGTCTGGGTGTGTGTGTGTGGGTGTTGGTGTGTGGGTGTGTGGGTGTGTGTGTGTGTGGGTGTGGTGTGTGTGTGTGTGTGTGTGTGTGTGTGTGTGTGTGGTGTGTGTGGTGTGTGTGTGTGTGTGTGTGGTGTGTGTGTGTGTGTGTGTGTGTGTGTGTGCGTGCGTGCGTGCGTGCGTGCGTGCGTGCGTGCGTGCGTGGGTGCGTGGGTGCGTGGGTGCGTGGGTGCGTGGGTGCGTGGGTGCGTGGGTGGGTGGGTGGGTGGGTGTGGTGGGTGGTGGGTGGGTGGGTGGGTGGGTGGGTGGGTGGGTGGGTGTGTGTGTGTGTGGTGTGTGTGTGTGTGTGCGTCTGTGTGTCTCTGTGTGTCTCTGTGTGTCTCTGTGTGTCTCTGTGTGTCTCTGTGTGTCTCCGTGTGTCTCTGTGTGTGTGTCTCTGTGTGTGTCTCTGTGTGTGTCTCTGTGTGTGTCTCTGTGTGTCTCTGTGTGTCTCTGTGTGTGTGTGTCTGCGTGTGTGTCTCTGTGTGTGTGTGTCTGTGTGTGTGTGTGTCTCTGTGTCTCTCTGTGTGTGTCTCTGTGACTCTCTCTCTCTCTCTCTCTCTGTGTGCGCGTGCGCGTGCGCGTGCGCGTGCGCGTGCGCGTGCATGCGTGGGTGGGCGTATGTGCGTCGTGTGATGTTGTGTGATGTTGATCCGCCTACATCCCCAATGCTACGAGCAGAGGCATGTTTACTACTCTTTCTCCAATCATGAAAACTGATAGGAAGAAGGTGTGGGAAAACTGGTCTCATGGCGAACCCCTTTCAATTTCACGATGTTGAAACAAAAGGTTTGGAAAGCTTGGAACCTCGCTGAACAAGTGGAAGTTCAATTGTTCTTCAGACCTTCTGGTAGGCAACCTTAGTCATAACCAAACGCTGACATTAAAATGGTCTACCCAGAATCTGGCAAGGAATTAGAAAGGCAGCTGCACCCATTTATGGCAAGGGGATTCTCCCTAACCTTCATCTACCCGAATCGGCTTTGAGGACGCCTTTGCCTTCATTCCCCGACCTGATCGCTCTGGTCTTCCCGGCACTGATCCGTGGAAAACTGGCCGGGAGCAAGCAGCCCGAGTGATAAGTGCCGACCGATTGACTCAATCGCTGGCTGGATGGCTCTGAGACTCTGCTCCAATCCTTGTGCTAGGCTTTTTGGACAAACGAACAAGCGGGGCTACGGAGGGAGCGGGGATTTGGGGGGGATTCCAACTTGCCGCCATTTCCCATAAACCTAGTCAAGGTGCATTTGGGGGGAATCCTCCCGTATCCCTGGCTCCCCCTGTATCCCTGCTAGTTTGTTTCCCTGAGCTTTAACACTCATGAAAAGAATGGCCCAAGGAGACCCAATTTGGACGATGACGGCATCCTTCATATCTACGAACCCCCATGCTTCAGATGGTGATATCTGACCTCCGGGCCGTCCAGTTGTTTTCTTCTTCTTTTTTCGCCCACTGGAAAACATCAGATTTAAATACAGTAGTGAAATCGACTCCCGTTAAAACCAACATGGGACAATGCAAAAATCATCTTAAGCAAATGGAAGAGGTGTTGGCTTTCCAATTCCTAAAGCAGAAACGGGGTTGAAACCAAAACAAAGAAGTCTTTGCTCAAGACTTCCGGGTATTTCTACCACAGAGACTCACCTCCTTTTCCAGCGATGGGACCTGGCACCAGCTGCAATGGAGCCAGAAAAGATCACATGAGCGGTCATGTCTTTCTGAAAACCATAGCTGGCTCTGTCCATTTTTTCTGGAGTTGGTACCCTGTTGTTGGTTCTTTTAAAAAGTAAAATTAAAAATCTGGAAACCAAAAAAAAACGATCCACATCCTACTGGACACGGGGATCTTCGTCTGATCGAAATTCATTGCTTGAGCCGATGCCCTGAACCCTCACCGTATACGGACTGTTCAACTCATGTGAAGTAAACGAGAGGATCCCTGGCTTCAGAGAATCGGGGCTTGCAGACTTGCGGAGTCTGTCGGCTAGACTCATCCATGTGGTTCAGTCGCAAATGAACATGTGCAAGCAAAGCAGGGATCCTTACATTTTACACCTAGCCATTGCCTTGTAAATGGTGGTGTCCCTTATTGGTGGAAAAAGCCATGTTTCAAATGGGCAAAATGTATCTTGACATTCGCAAGACGGGTTGCTGCCAATCTTGACCCCGGATGAATGAACCCCTGCAAAACCAAAAAACGGGGGGGTGTTCCGTGTTCTCCAAAAGTGTGAGCCACAAACACCAGGGTGGCTCAACGAAACCACGGTGGCTCCCGCGTAACCCGAACACAGTCTCAAATCCCAAACGACACGCCTCAGCTGCAAGCCCGGATCCCCGATACGAGCGGCTCTCAAGCGACGTCTCCGCGTTCGCGGAACGAAACTCGCCGCGCCGAGTGAAGGGATCCACAGGCGCGTCCGAACGCTTCAGCTTCTTTTTGAGCCAAGTGAGTAAAGTCGGATGATCAACTGCAAATAGGTTATATTCATGGTTACAACTTTGGTTAGAAAGCCAACTATCAGCATCTCTAATTGGTGGTTTGGATTGGTTAAGGAGGGGTGTCCCGTCTCTACAAACACTAAGGGTTCAACTCCTCCCAAAACAAAGGTCTCAACTCTAGAAAACGGTTTGGATTTGCGCTCGTGGGTTTTCCCTGCTCCTGTTGGTTCTTCTTTAGTACTGTTCGTGGATCTACAAAAGCCAAATCCAAGCCGTTTTCTAGATCAACTTCGTGTACGGAAAGGACCCACAAGTTGAGAACAGTTGTCATGCCGCCGGGTGGCAAGCCACCAGTCACATATCCAGCTCGAGCTAAGTGACAAACGGATGTCTTTGCTTTCGGCATTCGCTCTGAAGCGCCAAAGCCAAACTGAGAGAAGATGATGCTTTGCATCAATGAAGAATGATTGCGATTGTCCTAGCCCGCAATCTGACATGCAATCAGCTCTTGCGGTCGCGCAAAAAACCTGGCGAAGCACGGCTAGCATTGAAGTTGGCCCGGGAGCCCGCTGATATCATCGGGGGGAACTAAGGGAAAGGCGTTGTTTGAAGACATCCTTGCACTTGCTTAAGCCCACAGGAGAAAAAAACACATACTTCCAGTAGTGCCAGAGTGCTTTTAAAACCAAAAGGGGTACATAACAAACACATCGGCAAACGGACGCATCTGCAAAATCCTTACTGAATCTAATTCAGGAACACGTGAAAAAATTCACCTGAGCTCGCCATGGGCAGCGTGTTCTATTGAGGCTCTCCCTTCACAAGGGGGCCTAGAAAAGCAGGGGACATACCTTCCCACCCTTCTCACATGGAACCGTTCGACGTTCGGGACCTTTCCGGTCCCTTTAGAAGGAAAATGGTCTAAACCAGGACCCCCCGAACGTCAGGTTCCATGATAATTGGTAGGAGGGCACGTCGCCAGTCATGAGAAAACAGCCCAAAATTGAAGCTGGTAGATCCATGAACGGAGCTGTTTGCCCATGGCTAAACGAAGCAACATACCCTCTTGCCGACACTGGAAGTGGACGCCTCGGGCCTCCACGAAAGGAAGTTGCAAAACATCCTCGTCAGCTTCTCTCGGATTTGCCTCTTCAAAAGGTGTCCGACCTTTGCGCTCGTATGGAACTAAAATCCTCTCTTCCCCACATCTCAAACATCGGAGTGACCAAGTGGCTGGGGGTCAAAAATAGGGACACGGACCAAGACTAAAACCCGCGGTTGATATCCTGCAAGAATTTGACCCATACCCAGGTTGACTTTCCGCCGGTCGAAACAAGAGGGTCTTGCACAAAAGGGCAACTAGAAGACTACGGTGGCACTTGAGATAGGCGGCTCAATAGGTTTTGGCCCGAAATGAGCAGCCCTCACAAATGGAAAAGTAGACTAAAACCTGCGGTTCATATCCTGGCTCTGAAATTTGAACCACACCCAATTGTTTGTCAAATCATAGGAGCGAATTGCTAGCAACTCTTTCCACAGTCAGAAATCGATGTCCCTGTCCAACGAGGGGGGGCGAAAGGGCCGTTACACTTCACAGTAAGCACGGCTCACATGTCCTGTGATGTCGCTTGTCCAGGCCCCAACAAAAGGGAGGACAGGGGTCACTGGATTCTCCCAAATCAGAAGCTGATCTCAATTTACCGGTGGTTTCCATGGAAACCGTCCATCCACGTTTGGTGGTTCCAAAAACGGAAATGTCTCGGAAACTCTGAGGTGTTCAACGTCTTCTCCTTCAAACCAAAGAGGGGCCCTGAGGACAGCCCAAAGAGGGCCTCCCAAACGGGAAATGGCTTGGAAACGGTTCCTGGAGGAGGCAAGCAATGCTCGGTGTGTCGTTAGTGTCTCTTTTTTTTGAGGCACAACCGAATGGGGCCCGGCTCTAGCAAACAAGTTCAATCGAAATCGATTGGTATTGAAATGGTATAACCAAATCCATGTAAGGATACTAAAAGGCGGATATCCGCATCTAATTCTGGCTCAAACTGCCCCTTACTAACTACCCGGGTTTGCTTGTGGCTCATTTGAGGTTCAAGTAAACCTGGTTGAATGTAGATTTTTAACTTGGGTCTAGGAAGGAGCCTCTGCTTGCTGAAGATGGACATGGGTTCTGGCAAGAAACCCAAAGGTTTTTCACCACGGTTTCCGGTTTATTGCGGCTTCCCGGAAAGCTGGCGCTTTGATCTCATTCGCGAAGCGACCATGTTCCCGTGCCCGGAAGACCCCCCCGCCCCCAATAAAGAGCGAAGACAATCGTGGTTCTCCTTTTGTCTCCCTTGAAACCAACCCCCAAAACGGTATGCTCAACAAAGACGAGCCACACCCGAGTTCAAACCCGTCAGAGATCCGAGCGCACCTAGGTCAAGGATCTGGAACTTCTGGCCGTTGGACACATACCTCAAATGAGGACATCGCGTTGTGCGGCATCTTGGTGTTTTTTTGTTGTTTTCCCCCCGGTTTTGCTTGTCTTTTGGGGGACCAGGCACAGGGGTGGGGGGAGGTTGGAGGGGGTCCCTTTTGATTGTCCTAAGGAGACCAAGCCATCAAAACCTGGGAAAGTGAAGATTACCAAAGCACAGTCTGAGCCAATAGGTGGGCTGGGCTGTTCGTTTTCTGATCTGCTAAAAGCTTTTAACTTCAGGCTGAAATGGAAACGCAACCACTAAACCAACTAGAAACAACTAAACACCTGAGAGGATGGATGGAAACCCAACCACTAAACCGCCCAGAAGCAACAAAAACCCATGGCGATGGATCGAAACCCCCACTCATATTTGCCCTGTTGCTGAAAGTGTGGCCATGAGGGCTGGCGTTGTCACATTTTGTCGACTTGGACGGAATTCGTGTTGTTGGCTCTCCAGTGTTGCCGCAGTCGGTCGAGAAGTGGCTGTTTTTAATAGGGTGGGGAGGTGGGGGGCGCATGTTCCCAACACTTGCCAGTACACTGAACACACAAACGCCCGTGCACACAAGTTGAGGGGCAGCCAGGAACGCGCGCGAAAGCAAACACTAGAATACACGCACCCACACACAAACACACACCCGCACACACCCACCCACCCACCCACCCACCCACCCACACACCCACCCACCCGACCATGCTCGCACGCCCGCCCGCCCGCAAGCACGCACGCTCGCCCGCCTGCCCGTGCTTGCACGCACGAATGCAGGCAAGCACGCAAGCGCGCTGACACTGGCACTCAGGCACTCAGGCACGCGCAAGCGCGCAGGTTCGCACAGGCTTTTGCTCGATGGCAAGTTCGGTGATTTATGAGAAATTTCCGCTCCACAGTTAAGGTCCTCCTGGGACCCCATATGGCCGTTATTTTAGGTCATACGCCGTTTTAATGACCAACAACATGTCGAAAAAATTGGGTGTCATACGGGTGTTGTACGCAAATGACCGGGAAAAAATGGCCATACGAGCAAATTCGGCCAAATACGGGAGTTTGACCGGAAAAAAAGGAGCCATACGGGGTGCCAAGCTTGCCAACTGTCAGGCTGAGCCAGGGATCGGTACGGAAGGAACTTTGCGGGTCAAAACGGTTGAAGTAAGAAGCCCTTCCTCCCGAGGGGCCTATGTCATTGGCATGTGAGACCACGCCAATGCACAATACCACTGGAACTGCACCTGCGTCACAAGTGAATCCTCCTCCAAACCAGCTGGTAAAAGCGATTGGCCAAGTTCCCCAGATGCATCCTTTAAGGGACCCTGCAACGCAGTAGCGTACCCAATTTGCGGTCTTTGCTTTGAAGGTTGACACCACTCGACAAGAAAAACAGGTTTTTGTTCAACCTTTCGCCAGGGAAAAAGGGCTCTCCGTTTTGTGGGAACCTGGAGTCTCTCAATCTCGCCTGAAGGGTGTCCAGCTTTTGGGCACTTGGGTTTGTCTCAGACACGGAACCCTCAAAATGGATCTCGCTGTTTCCTTCTTCTCAAATGAAACCAGCCCCCAGTTCGGGGCACTCAGCCTCAAAAAAACGAAGCGACACACCCTGTTCAGGTCCTTTTCCCAAAAACGGCCAAGCGTTCCCAAGATGCAACCTGACTCAACAAGGGGTCCCGGTTTGCTTTAAAAGGGTACCGAGCCCCGAAAGAAGCAACACACCCAGTTCATCTCAACTCGAGGATTTTGGGGGGAACTGGAGATGTCTGTCGCACATAGACCAAGACCCTGTCTTGGGCCTCCGGCTTATTGAGTTTTAGGTGAGAAGCCCGGCCCACGAATGCCTGGCCAACGGCAGAGTAGCTGTCTATGTCTATCTGTCGATCCCGTTCTCTCTGTCTCTGTCGTTGTCTTACTCTATCTTGTCTCTGTGTTTGCCTTTGTCGAGATCTCTCTGTCTTTGTCTCTGGCTGTCTCTCTGTCTCCGTCTCTGTCTACTTCCGTTTTTTTCTTTGTATCTGTCTCTATCTACATATGAACCCTAATCCTTCTTTTTGTGGGCTAAATCAGATCTGAAGCCCGTTCCAATGGGTACTGGTGTTAACCTCCAGAATCCTGTATTTACATCGGGTCCTTTGCCACGATCAGCTTGACAGCGCTGTGGCTGGTTTGCTTGCTTATGACCGGGACTTCGTGCGTGCAACATGCCGGGTAGGGAAGACCACTCGAAACATGTCCCCAACAAGGTCCAGAAGGTCTATTTGTGGATTCCTGACCCCCAAATGACCGTGGGTTTCTTTCCCAATGTGGGAAATAGCATCTGTTTAGCGGTTTCCCCAATGGTCATGCCATGTATATCGGACCTTTTGATCAACCCCCCCATTTGTTGTATTCTTGCTGGTGCTCAGTAGGGAATGAGGGAATGAACCCAGGGGTCTCCTTAAAGGAAACCACCAGTTGGATGGTTTATACGGGTCATTCCAACTCAGTCCCTGCCTATCGCCCAGCAAGTTGTTGTTTCGCATACTTATCATGTCTCAAGACCCAAGAAACAGCGTGTGCTCAATGCGCGCTTGGCCCAAGCGTGAGTCAAGTGCCCTGTTACTGTTCCCTACCTGGGTGGTTTACGGCATGGACCCATGGCGAGCCGTTTACACTCTTGCAGTGGCACCTACAAGTCGAGGCCAAATCAGATCCAGGCTCAAGTGCGAAAGAACCAGATCGGCAAATACCACAAAATGCACATTAGAGTTCTGTCTGGATTGAATTCCCAACAAGAAAAAGAAGCATTAAACTACCCCCTGCTCCAAGTACCCGCTTTTTTCAGCCGGTATCATTAAAAAGACACTCTACTACAAAAGGGATAGGTATTTGCCAAGGAAGAATACCGACTAAAAAAAGCCGTGTATTTGGAGTACGGAGGACATTACTGCTAACTTCTCATTCATCAGGAGGACCTTTACAAAACAAACAAGGGGTGGTTTTGCCGTTTAAGGAAATGGTAAACGACTTTTGGGGTGTCCTCTGACAAATAGGTCCTTCAGATTCCGAACTCCATGTCGTGGCAGTGCACGGCTCTGCGGCGTGAGTTGTCCAAAAGAGACCTGTGCGGTTGAATCCCCCCGCAATCTCCAAGTAGTTTGTAGTTTTTTTTTTTTTTTTTATTTTGTTTTTTTAGTTTTTTTTGTTTGTTTTGTTTGTTTTGGT